AGAAAGGATATATGCACCCCTATGTTCATAGCAGCACAATTTACAGTAGCTAAGATTTGGAAACAGCCTAAGTGCCCATCAGCAGATGAATGGATTAGAAAACTGTGGTACATCTACACAATGGAATATTACGCTGCTATAAAAAAGAAGGAACTCTTACCATTTGCAACAGCATGGATGGACCTGGAGAGCATTACGCTAAGCGAAATAAGCCAGTCAGAGAAAGATAAATATCACATAATCTCATTCATATGTGGGATATAATGATCAACATAATATGATGAACAAGAATAGAACCAGAGACAAATGGCAGGGGAGGTTGGGGGGGGGCATTAGAGATCAACCAGGGGACTTGTATGCATGCATATGAGCATAACCAATGGACACAGACAGTAGGGGGGTGAGGGCATGTGCTAGGGGGTGGGAGTGGCCTGGGAGAGGTCAATGGGGGAAAAAGGAGACTCATGTAATACTTTCAACAATAAAGAATTTTTTTAAAAAAAGACTGCCCTTGGCACTCTATCTATAAACAGTACCTGGGTTAGTAAGGAGATGCTTGTTTTCTTCCCAGTTACAGCCGGGATGGGAGGGAGGCTTGCTCACAGCGATGCTAAGGCCTATGGGATGTCCGCAGCCCTGACCTTTGCAGGGACGGGCAGTATCTCATTCCCACTCTGCCCTCCAGACTTCAGACTCATCTCTCTTCCTTGTCAGACCAAACCGTCACCCTAGGTGCTGCCGAGTGTCCAGGGGGCTGAGCTCCATCCTCCGGGAGGTCAGGGAATGGGGTTCTCAGCACATCCCATGCTGTGAACCGGGAGCCAGGTGACTGTGCAGGAGGCATCACTGAATCGGTAGGGTCTGTTTTCTTTTAAAATGGCTCAAATGCTTTCTAACACAAAGGATGAATAAGGTACGATAACAAGTCAATTTGCATTGAATCTTACCTTTATCTTAATTAACCAACAATATGCAACTAATATACTGTCTGGATAGCATCTGAACATATTAAAATGAGGGCCTTAAAAGTACTTAAAAATTATGCTCCTCTGGGTATACTGAATATTATTTTTTAAATGTTGTAAATATTTTTATTTTGTTTAGTAAAGATTTTTTTATACTTTCCTCCCATTCTCCAAAGGATAAGTTCTGAATTAGCAAAGACTGAATAGTGAGGTTATAATGGCATTTAAAAAAGTCAAGCCAGTCGAGAGGGTACCTCCATGTAGCCCTCACTTGGAGTCGGCCTCAAGCCTCAAGCCCTTGGTTAAGTTAATTAAGCTCCTCAAACTCGGGCCTGTGCACGGGGAGTAGTCGCCAGGGAAGTGCAGGTGAAGGGCAGGCAGCAAGGCCTCAAAGGGCGCCCAGCAGCACTGAGATGCAGGGGGCAGAGGTGCAGGGCCTGGGCCTTCTTGTCAGGGCAGCACTCTCTGAAGAAGAGGAGTCACTGACAGCTGACCCCGCCCCGCCCTGGGGTGCAGAGGAACACACCCAGCCCCCCAAGCTCCTCTGGCTCCCTGGGGCTGAGGGAAAAGAGACACTAGCTCTGGAAATTCTTCCGCTGGCCCACCTGGCTGGATAGAGGGGTGGGAAGAAAGACCATGGGGGGCGCGCACAGCAGCACATTCACGAGCCCCCAGCAGCGCTGACCACTGTTCAGTGAAGCAGCCGCGCCCGGGGACAGCGTAGGTATCGGAGCCCAAGGACCATCGGCACCAGGACGAAGGAGGCGCGGTGGGCTCTGCTCGCGTGCGGCTCTCCCAGGGGTGACAGTCACACAGTAGGTCTGCAGCATGGCGCGGGTATTCACACAATTAGGTGTTCCATGCATGCACTATTTCACACACACACTGTAGGGCAAACAGCACGCCGGATAATTTTCCCTTTAGTTGAATAAGTACACATTTCATTATGGCACACTCCTTCACATTACTATTTCCACTCAAAAACTGTAAGTGAAATGATTTTTTAAAAAATTGAAAACCAACTTCTAAGTGGAAGATAACATACATTTTCAGGAAAGGGGTGACCCCAGCATTTTAGAGAATTGGAAAACACCTGGTGATGACCAAGTCCAAGTTTCTCGTGTCACAAACACAGAAGACCCCCAGGAAGTAAACGATTGGGTTTATCCAACCTGCTCAGGTACATGCAACAGAACCTGCCTCCGGACCCCGGACAGTGATCCTTTCAGCAGAATGTGCGGTGCTGCATAAATTTATGTTCATTTATTAAACTAGGACTGAAAATTAAAGGGGTCTACGTATAGAAACATAGTTTCGTGCATTATATTTCTTGCTACAAAAATAAAATATAATGGAATAAGCTTGATTAATATTTAACAGATAACTTTCATAAAATATAAATATATTTATAAGTATAGATCATGGACTATTATTTCTCAGTGTGGAATGGGGTATTCTATAGGGAATTACATACATTCTTCTTTCATTCCAATGTGGCATTTATAATAATCAGATGTGTATTTGATCACATAGAAGACTTCAATAAATTCCAAAACATAGGAAAATCTCAGACCACGATATTTAAATGGAATCCAAAAAAG